ATGACTTGACTTTGGAACCTGTTTTTACCAAGAAGATTGAGGCCTCAGGGCCTATGGATGCACACCAAAGAAATGTCAACTGGCCATGTGCAGGCTTTGTGGGTGCCACGTGACAATATGCTGCATATACTGAAGAAGAAATGCACAGGATCATGAATGAAGTGTCTTTCTGACATGATTGCTAAGTCACAGCAAATTTGCTTTTCGAAGATCAAAGACAAGGATTTCCCAGAAAAGGCCTAAAGGCTTTGGGGTGCTACACCATATAATTAATGCAGTTTCACATACTTTAACTGCCATGGTTAAATACCATGGGATCATGGGAACTGTGGCTTTACAAGGTCTTTAGCCTTCTGCGCCAAAGAGTGCTGGTGCCTCACAAAACTGCAAATCCCAAATTTCATAGCCTTGAGGCGTGACAGTGTGGTTTCAAACTACATTCCTTTTACAGTGTAGATGCACCCTTGGACCCCAGTATATCATGTTTTCCTTTAAGGAAGTACAAATCTTCCTTCTGATTTAAAAAGGAAACTAAAAAGGAAACAATGTGAATATTTTGGATATGATAGCGTTTCATTTCTAGGCAGAAGACTTTGGGAATTGCTTACTTCACTGAACTGAAGTGAAGCTTCTGCATCAATTACTTCTGGATTAGCATTTCACTATCTCAGGCCCCTTCTACACTGCCATATAATCCAGATTACCAAAGCAGATAATCTTCATCATTTTATTTGAACTGGATTATCTGAGTCTACACTGCTGTATAATCCAATTCAAAGCAGATAATCTGGATTTTATATGGGTCCTCATTGTGATTTCAGTGCCTTTTTTGGAACAGCCTTGTGGACATTACTTCAGAGTAGGGGCTCTTCTACACTGCCGTACAAAATCCAGATTTTCTGCTTTGAACTGGATTTCAAACTGGAAAAAGTATAGCATGTATGTTTTGCTGTATCCATGTATATCTGCTTCTTCAGTAGATTACTGCAGCCGTCATCCTTTTCCAGCTAGAACAGAGAAAAATACCTCCGTGGCTTCTGCTTCAATTTGGTGAGATTTATTCTGGAATATTGGCTTCTTTTTCCCATAGTGGCTTGGATCTCACTATCCACAGCCATTCTAAATTGCTCGATGACAATACTTTGGATATATCATGAAAAGTCATGACTCACTAGAAAAGAACATAATGCCAAACCCCCCAGGTGACTTAGGGCAAGTCACAGTCTCTCAGCTTCAGAGTAAGACAAAGGCAACCTCTTCTGAACAAATCTTGCCAAGATGGGAGTTGGCATGACTCATGAATCACACACAACAACCATAACAACAACATTGCATAAGGAAGGAAGAAAAAAGGAATTTCTTTGCATTATTATTACTCCAAGTTAAATGTACTGTAATCCGATACTATGCTATGTGTATTCCCAAATATTTTGACAGATGTTTTGAACTTTCAATGCCTAGAAGCTCAATCAGAAAGACCAATGTCCAGGCATTCCATTAAAGGAAAGATTTACCAACATACAGTTCTGATGTGCTAATTCAAGCAATTTGTTGGTTTATTCTTCCTCCCATTGTTGTTCTTAATTGCCTTTAAATCAACTTTTACTTATGGTGAACCCATGAATGAGAGCCCTTCAAGTCACAGTCCTACTCAGGCTTTGCAGACTCAGGGCCACGGTTTCCTTGCTTGAGTCTATCCATCTGGAATGTGGTCTTCCTCTTTTCTTCCTTCCTTCTTCAATATTGTTGTTATGGTTGTTGTGTGCCTTCCATTCATTCCTGAGTCATGGCAACTCCCATCTTGGAAAAATTTGGCAAGATTTGCCTCACTCTGAAGCTGAGAGACCATGACTTGCCAGCATTATGATCTTTTCTAGTGAGTCATGACTTCTCATGATGTATCCAAAGTATGACAGTCTCTGTTTAGTCATCTTGGCTTCTAGGGATACTTTAGGCTTGATTTACTAGGCCCCATTCATTGGTCTTTATTGCACTCTATGTAGAACTTGCCTCCAGCACAACATTCCCAAGGAGTTTTCTTCCTCTACTGTCTAGCTTTCACAGGCATATAGAAATGGGAAAATGACATGGAAACTCCTAACTGTTCAATGCTATATCCTGATACTTTGGAGTCATAGCGTCATAGCATTGAAAGACGTAGGCTCCATTGACATTGCCTTATATCCCAGGATCTGATCCCAGATTATCTGTTTAGTCCGGATTATCTGGCAGTGTGGTCTCATATAATCTAGTTCAAAGCAGATAATCTGGGATCAGAAACTGGGATATAGGGCAGTGTAGATCCAGTGTAGATCAACTAGACAAGACCCTCCAGTATATATAATTGTATATTAATGTCAGGATTGTCCATCCATGCCATTGTATTTCCAATGTCTATGTCTGATTATAAACACTAGAGAGTGAAGAAAGCTTCTCCTCTGGGATCACAGAATTGGAAGAGATCACATAGGCGATCCAATTCCTTCTTAGCCACTTTCTCAAGTCCTAGAACCTTTCTACTCTGCCATATAAAATCCAGATTATTGGCTTTGAACTGGATTATATAGCAGTGTAGATCAGGCACGGGCAAACTTCAGCCCTCCAGGTGTTTTGGACTTCAACTCCCAAAATTCTAACAGCTGGGTGTTAGGAATTATGGGAGTTAAAGTCCAAAACATCTGGAAGGCCGAAGTTTGCCCGTTCCTGGTGTAGAGTAATATAATCTGGTTCAAAACTGATTATCTGACAATCTGGATTATATGATAGTGTAGAAGGGGTCCTACGGTGAAGCTACACTATAGAATGAATGCAGATTGTCATCCCTTTTAACTGCCATGGCTGAACGCTATGGGATCAGGGAAGTTGTAATTTGTTGAAACACCAGCACTCTTTGGCAGAAAAGGCCAAAGATTTTATTAAACCACAACTCCCATGGTCCCATAACCCAGTCAGCTATGGCCCTTGCACGCAGCTATATAATCCAGAATATCAAGGCAGATAATCCACAATATCTGCTTTGAACTGGGGCCCCTTCCACATAGCTCTATATCTCAGAATATCTAGGCAGAAAAATCCCACAATATCTGGTTTGAACTGCGTTATCTAAGGCCGCTTCCACACAGCTGAATAAACTTACATTTTATGATTTGAACAGGAATATATGGCAGTGTGGACTCAGATAACCCTGTTCAAAGAAGATATTGTGGGATTTTCTGCCTTGATATTCTGGGTTATCGGGCTGTGTAGAAGGACCCTAAATCCATACTCTATGCCCCACCTCATAGTTTAAGATCCACCGGGGAGGCCCTGCTCTCAGTCCTGCCAGCCTCGCAAATGCATCTGGTGGGGACGAAGGACAGGGCCTTCTTGGTGGTGACCCCCCCGTTTGTGGAACTTGCTCCCCTGCAAGATTAGATCAGTGTCCTCCCCACTTTCCTTTAGGAAAGAACTGAAATCATGGTTGTGGAACCAGGCCTTTGGCTAGCAGGCATAACGGCACTTTGGACATTGAACTATATCATATGATTGTTATAATAATGGAAACAGCTATATGATTGTATAACCAATGCTATTGTTTTAATTTATTGTGTATTTATAGATTTATATTGTTTTTTACTGTGATATTGGGGCATTGCCAGTGTTAGCTGTTCTGAGTCCCCCCCCCCTCCCCTTGGGGGTTGAGAAGGGTGGGGTAAATAAATAAATACTCAGATAATGTGGGATTTCCTTCCTTGATATTCTGGGATATAGGGCTGTGTGGAAGGGCCCTGGGTTATCTGAGGCCCTTCCACACAGCCCTATATCCCAGAATATCAAGGAAGGAAATCCCACTTTATCTGAGTGTGGTCTCAGATAACCCAGGGCCCTTCCACACAACCCTATATTCCAGAACATCAAGGCAGAAAATCCCACGATATCTGCTTTGAACTGGGTTATCTGAGTCCACACTTAGATAATGTAGGATTTCCTGCCTTGATATTCTGGGATATAGGGCTGTGTGGAAGGGCCCTCAGTGAGTTTCTGAATCCAAGGGGGGATTCAAACCCTAGTCCTGGAATCTCATGATCAAATACTGCACTAGCTCCTACTCACATATTCCCCACCCATAAAAATCATTGTGTGTGTGTGTATCTATCTTCATATTGAGATGTTTTCAGTTTTCTAAGGGCATCTTTGTTCCTTTAATCCCCCCAAAGCCCTTCCACACAATCCTATATCCTAGAACAGGGGTCCTCAAACTTTTTGAACAGAGGGCCAGGTCACAGTCCCTCAAAATGTTGGAGGGCCAGATTATAATTTGAAAAAAGCACAAATTAATTCCTATGCACACTGCACATATCTTATTTGTAGTGCAAAAAACACTTCAAATCAATACACTAATTATTAAATGAAGAACAATTTTAACAAATATAAACATGTTAGTATTTCAATGGGAAGTGTGTGCCTGCTTTTGGCTGATGAAATAGGATGGTTGTTGTTGTTTGCTTTCAAGTTGTTTCAGACTTAGGTTGACCCTGAGCGAGGCCTGGGTAAATGACCTGAGGGCCGTATCTGGCCCCCGGGCCTTAGTTTGAGAACCCCACATTATCTGAGTGTGGACTCAGATAACCCAAGTTCAAAGCAGATATTGCGGCATTTTCTGCCTTGATATTCTGGGATATAGGGCTGTATGGAAGGACCCTCTGTCTACACTGCCATGCAATCCAGTTCAATATGGATTTTATATAGCTCTGTGGAAGGGTGCCAGCCTTCATTTTGTTCTACACCAGTGGTTCCCAACCTTTGGTCCTCCTGTTGTTTTGGACTTCAACTCCCAGAAATCCCTGTTAGGAATAGTGGGAGTTGAAGTTCCAAACACAGGACGCACCAAAGGCTCTAGTAGTGGGGAGCACCCTTCCTCTTCCACCCCAATCTGAGGAGGCGGGGCCTAATTCAGGGCAGCCCGCAGTAGCCAATCAGGCGCGTGTATGCAAATAGCCTCTGGTGCGGATTCGCTTTCCCTTCCCGCTGCAGCTGGGTCCCGAAGCAGTGCCCTTCAGTGGAGACGCTGCGCGAGGTCGTGTTTGTTTGCCTGGCGCGGAATGCGGAAACCTTGGCAAAGGGCTGCCAGGCCAAAGGTGGGCGCCCCTCCTGGCCAGAGCAGAGAGTGAGAGAGAGAGTGGAGCGGTGGAGCAGGAGCCCGCTTCCCTTCCCGACCATCATTCGGATTGATTGACTGGCAGCCCCGGAATCCCGCGGAGTCCTGCGGGTACCTGAAAGACCCAGCAGAAGCTTGGGTGCAGTTGTATGTATATGTGTCTATTTATATGTAGATATATGCCACGTGAGCTTTGTTTTCATAGCGTGCAAAGAGTCCCTGAACTTGGCTGTTTAGGCGGCATCAGGCTGAGATAACTAGTTGGAAGCGGAACATCTGGATTGGGTTGCTGTAAGTTTTCCAGGCTGTATGGCCATATTTTCCAGAAGCATTCTCTCCTGACGTTTCGCCTGCATCTATGGCAGGCATCCTCAGATGTTGTGAGATCCGTTTCCTAGTTTCCAGCAGACCGCACAACCTCTGAGGATGTCTGCCATAGATGTGGGCGAAATGTCAGGAGATAATGCTACTGGAACATATGGCTATACAGCCCGAAAAACTCACAGCAACCCAGTGATTCCAGTCATGAAAGCCTTCAACAACATATCTAACATCTGGATTGTTGGAAACATGCTGATTTGGGAAGATAATGTTCCCTGGAATGGGACAGGTTTTCCCTTGATGGAAGATATGTACTTGGTGGAATATTTTTTTTTCTGATATGCAACATGTAGAGGCTATTTTGTAAATAAATATGCATTTAACTACATTTTCTCTATGAATGGCGACTTCTGGGATACCCTGTCACACAAGAGTTTGCATATTTACTCAGGTTTGAAGTCTTTGTGATATTATTCTTCAGTGATAATTCTTGGAGGGAAATGCAGCCAGATTACAGCTGGTGGGAGAAGTCAATTCAGTCTTGATACTGAACTCTTTTTAAAAACTATAATAGGATATAAACAATACCGTTTTGCCTAGTACTTTACTTAAGAATTAGTTTTCATATACTTTTCTTTGTTTAGGATATCCTCCATCCAAAGTTTTTTTGAAACATGGAGTTGATCAATGCTCAGTTAGGACACCTTTGTTGCATTGCTTATAATGTGAGTTTGTTATGGATCAAAGCATGGAATATAAGTATCTTTAATGTCTTGTCGAAGGCTTCCATGGCCAGAATCACTGGGTTGCTATGAGTTTTTTGGGCTGTATGGCCATGCTCCAGAAGCATTCTCTCCTGATGTTTGGTCTGCATCTATGGCAGGCATCCTCAGAGGTTGTGCGGTCTCTTGGAAACTAGGCAAATGTGGAATAATGTCCTTGATGGGAGAAAGAACTCTTATCTGATTGAGGCAAGTGTGAATGTTGCAGTTGGCCAACTTAATTAGCATTGAATGGCCTTGCAACTTCAAAGCCTGGCTGTTTCCTGCCTGGGGGAATCCTTTGTTGGGAGGTATTAGATGGCCCTGATTGTTTCCTCTCTGGAATTCCCCTGCTTTTTTTTTAGTGTTGCTCTTTATTTACTGTCCTGATAGGGGATTGATTCCAAACAAGAATCAATGAGGGCCAGCTAACACCTCCCAACAAAGGATCTTCCCAGGCAGCAACCAGCTAAGTTTGGAAGCTTGTTGCAACATTCAACTTGTCTCAAACAGACAAGAGTTCTTTCTCCCCACCCTAGACATTATTTACACAGATAATTTGTGAGGACACACACAGAGAGATTTCTATTACAGATAGTGGATCCTAAGTACAGGTTGAGTATCCTTTATCCGAAATGCTTGAGGCCAAAAATGTTCTGAATTTCCCATTTTTGATTTTGGAATGCTTGCATATAGATCATAATGCATTTTGGGGATGGGACCCAAGGCTAAGCAGAAAATTAGGGCGTGTCTGAAATACCGTTTGAACATATAGCCTTAGGCTGCTTTTATACACAATATTTTGAATGCTTTTGTGCATAAATAAGAGTTTGAGTACCTTGAATCATCAGAAAGCAAAGGTGTCACAGTCTCAGTCACTCATGTGGACAAGATTGAATTTTGTATTTTAAATTTGGGCATTCAAGATAAGGGATGCTCAGCCTGTTTATTGATTTTGTGTCGAAAACATTGCATAAATAAAACTGATAAAATAGAGGAAGCACAAATGGCTAAATAATTTTAGACCAAAAACAGGCAACACCGACAGCGTTGTCTGTAGCTTCAAACAATTCTTCTTCTGTGCTTGAGGCAGGGCATTGTGGACAAGCATACAGGTGCAAAGTTGTTTGTTCTGTTTCACGGTCACACAAGGTGGAGGATTCTTAGGTAGCACCATTTTGCCAGGTTGTCTTTTGATCTTCCCAGTCTACTTCTGAATCTGTTCAGGGACTTCTTGGTTTGCCTCTGGAGGCAAACCCTCGTTGGGGGTCCAATTGGGATTTCCTAGTTTACCTGCACAGAAGGATACTCTTGCTGTTGCTGGGGGAACATAAAGAGGAGTGGTGGTTCTCAGCTTGTAAGTTAATGTCACCATTTGTTAAGCTTGAAACAATAACTTGGTTGGACTACAGCTCCGACAATTGGAACTCTGAATTCACTTGTTTTTAGTGGGAGTTTCATTTAATCCCCCTGATCTAGGGATTCATGAACACAGCAGGATCTTGCTGCTACTGATCTTGATAATCTCCCTCACTGGCCAGAGGTGCCTATTGGACTAATGTTGGGAATGTTGGGAAGTGCTGGCAGACGGCTGACCATTTGGAGATTAGAATGCAGTAGTCCTCCCCAAATGGGTGTCTTCGTAGTATTTTGTCTTACAACTCCCTTTGCATCTTACAAATAGCTTTGCTCACTGAGGATGATGGGATCTAGAGTTCCAAATAGTTAAAGGTAAAGGTTTTCCCTGATATTAAGTTCAGTTGTGTCCGACTCTGGGGGTTGGTACTCATCTCCATTTCTAAGCCGAAGATTCAGCGTTGTCCGTAAACACTTCCAAGGTCATGTGGCCGGCATGGCTGCATGGAGTGCTGTTACCTTCCCGCTGGAGCGGTGCCTATTGATCTACTCACATTTGCATGTTTTGAACTGCTAAGTTGGCAGAAGCTGGGGCTAACAGCGGGAACTTATACTGCTCCTCAGATTTGAACCTGCAACCTTTCAGTCTGCAAGTTCAGCATCTCAGCGCTTTAACCCACTGCACCATCGGGGGATCCTAGCATTCCAAATACCTGAAGAAAAAAAACAAGATTGAAAATGACTAGTACATAGCTTGCTTGTGTCAACCCTCTGAAGATATGTTTTCAGAGCTGTTAGCTGAAGAATAGAATTGCCTGTTCTTCTCTGCAGAGAAGGTAGAGGTGTGCTGTTCAGGCTGCACTGGGTTTGGGACTGTAGTAAGTTTGTCTCCTCAGGTAGCCCTAGAACAGTTGGCCTACAACTCCCAGAGATCCCAGCCAGTTTACCAGCTGTAAGGGATTTCTGAGAGTTGAAGGCCAAAACATCTGGGGACTCACAGGTTGAGAACCACTGCCCTCGATGTTAAGCAGCATCAGGCCTAGAAGGGAATACTTGTGCAGAAAAGTGACCGATATCTTTGCAGATTCAGACCCTTAAGCAGAAGACTCACCCAGTCTTGCTTTCTATGTGAGAGAAGGCATGCCCCTCCCTAGAAGTCATTTTCTGCATGTTTACCTTGCTCATAAAATTCACCTGAAGTTTACACCTAAACTGTTGTAACTCTACTCCAGATTGGTGGGTTCTGTGTGCGAAGAAAATGACCTATTTAGAGAACAATAGGCAAGGCAAAGAGAGAGGATTTCACTGAAGTGGGTCAATAGAGCCATTAATCAGGTTGCATCTGTTGAAATTTCCTGCTTTGAAGCAATGTGGGCCCCTGTATTAGAGAACTGGGTCAGATTGGGAAGTGTCTAGTCTCTAATCTATTTTATGCTTCCTACTTTTAGTGTTCCTAATTGCCAACAAAGATTATGCCTATTGATTAATCTTGAACAAGGATTTAAAAACATCAGGATTTTGATTTTTGTTGTTCAGATAGTAAGATGTATTTAGGGATGGGTTCTCTGTATTGTCCATATCATTTCTAGAGAAGTCAAGCTATTTTTTAGAAAATATAGTTGGTTTTGAACCAACATTTTTCTCTCTGTATTGTCGAAGGCTTTTATGGCTGGAATCACTGGGTTGCTGTGAGTTTTCCAGGCTGCATGGCCATGTTCCAGAAGCATCCTCTCCTGATGTTTTACCCGCAACTATTGCAGGCATCTTCAGAGGTTGTGAGGTCTGTTGGAAACTAGGCAAGTGGGATTTATATATCTGTGGAATGTACAGGAAGGAGAAAGAGCTCTTGTCTGTTTGAAGCAAGTGTGAGTGTTGCAATTGGCTACCTTGATTAGCATTTAATAGCCTTGCAGCTTCTTCCACCTTGGACATTCCACAGATATATAAACCCCACTTGCCTAGTTTCCAACAGACCTCACAACCTCTGTGGATGCCTGCCACAGTGTTATATCACAGAAAATCAAAGCAGAAAATCCCATAATATCTGCATCCACACTGCCATATATCCCGGTTCGAAGCAGAAAATGGGGGATTTTATTCAGCTGTGTGGAAGGGGCCTCAGTCCTAAACTCCAATCACTATATAATACCGATTCTGTAGTTAGGTAGTGAGAATAAGATAGAAGTAGGTTGCCCAGGTTTATCAAATAGTGGGATTTTTTTTAAAAAGTACCCAATATATGATCCTGTTCTTTCCCATTCTGCTAGATTCTTAATGCAGCTTTAAAAGCCAAGACTAATTAGAGAAATAAGTAAGTGAAAATGCATCTAATATTTAGATGTAGCAACCATATTTCAATGGTTTGACCAGTGTTTTATGGACCTCTCATTCATAGGGCCACTGTAATTCAAAGTTGACTTGATGGGCAGATAACCACAATTCCTTATCAGCCTCTTGGGTCAGTTATGATCTACAGTTTCTTCCAATGTGTCATTTTTTATTGTTTAATAAGACAGTTTGCAGGCAACCCTATTAAGCTGTTGCGCCAATACACCCACTTATTTGAATGAACGTGAAAGATAATGTTTAATGGAAGAGCTTTCTTATGCAACCGGTAAAGCACACATGTACTAGCAAAATACTGTTAACTTCTGTTTTTGTCTAGCATTTTTTTTCTAGAATATCCTGCATCAGGAGAAAAAAAACATGAAGGAAACTCAAAAAAAGAAATCAGTTGATTTGTACAGTGATGGTCCTCAGTGGATGTCTAATTTACCAGAATCTCTTTGGAGCATTCCTCTCTCTAACCTGTCATTACCAGGTAAGGAGTATTTCCTTCAAAAGAAAAATTATTCCATTGATAAATATTAATAGAATCATAGTATTATAGAGTTGGAAGAGACCACAAGGGCAATAAGGGATTTAATATGTTTGTAATTATGTGTATTGTTTCCTATTTGGTTTACTTGAGTTGTTTTGTTATTTATTGCATCGTTTTTTATTTGTTTGCATATTATTGTTTGACATTGAATGTTTGTCACTGGGTATTTGTTGTTAGCTGCCCTGAGTCCCCTCAGGGAGACAGAGCAGACTATGAATAAAGTTTCATTCATTCAATCTGGTCCAACCCTTGCCATGAAGGAATTCACAAATACTATGTTTTACTATGTTTGAGATCAACTTCTCTCCATCTTGATATCTGGGCAGTCCCACAAATTTAATACTTACATGGGTAAATACCCTAGAAACTTTTACAACTTGAAATTTCCCTCCCCTTCCCCCACATTGGTGAATGTATTTTGTGCCAAAAATAACCAGTCACTAGGGTGGTGGTGGTGATGGGGATCAGCCCATTGGCTTACTTCCCTTTTCTTCCTTATTCTGCAGAAAGAAGAATTGTGTGGTTTCTTACTTCAAAAGAATGACCTTTCTATAATTTCCCTAAAAGTTTCTCGCTTTCCCCCACTGTTCTCTCCATCTCACTGTCTTTCTCTCTCTTAAGGAGTAATGATCATTGTGGTGTCACCATTGAATTTGATCCAGTGGTACAATGATACTTTAAAGTGTATGAGTCACGATAGTGCCAAATGACCTACTCCTATTTCTTTCTGTTCCAAAGATATTGTGGAATGGGCTAAGTACAAATGCTCTTAGACTGCAATTCCTTGAAGACATAGCCAATGGTCAAATTTGAAGAGAGCCAGGATCTGCAATTAAATTGTTGATTTTTTCCCCATTTCCAGTGTAGATATTTCATCCTTAACAGGTCTTTATTTTGGTAGGAAAAAGCCTAACCTGGGCATCTGCAGCTGGAAAAAAAAATTAGAACCCATATTGATATTTCAAGCTCAAGGCTGGGTGATTTCACAGTAGAAGTTAGTGAACCATGACCTGAAGCCTGCCATTAGGGAAATCAATCTTTATTCACATGGTCAATGATCCGAATAACACTGTCCATTAGAGAAAATGTACTAGAGTCCATTAATGAATGCTCTCTTTTCTGCCAGCCCTCCAAGGACATATTGCATTGTCTTGGGAGACTGTGATGGGTTGAGTCCAGGCACCAAATAGTTCCATTTCAACCCATTATCCCAGCCTTAAAAGACATCTCACTGAAGGCACTTACTTCTTCACCAGCATGGATCAAATATTCCTCTGCATTACTTTCCATATGTTGATTTACAGCTCCAATTGTTTTGGCCAGCACAGGTTTTGGTTTTGCTGGTTGGTTGGAACATGTAGCTCAACATATTCAGAGGACTCCAAATAGGCAAGTTTTAGATCCAAGGATGTAACTATGCTCTCCTCCCCAAGATAGAGGTAGCACTGATAGTTATGCAGACCATTTCTGTTTGGTGTGGTCAGTACAGGGAGATTGAATTTGGTGTCAAGAAAAAGACCCACCTGGGCATTAGCATAGGCATTGTTCAAGGAAGAAGATAAGATATAAAATCTATGTATGGAGAACTTTTTGTACTGTTCTATATCCTCTATGTAGGAGATATAATTTATAATGTATTTCTTTTTGCTTTTATATCCCACCCTTCTCACCCCGAAAAAGACTGAAGGTGGCTCACAAAAAAGGCACAGTTCAACGCCACATATACATACAAAGGATAAAACCAAACATATACATTAAAACCAAATAATTAAAACATGTCAGTCTTAAAAACCAATTCATTAAAACCACGCAATCCAAAGGCATATTCCAGGAGCCATTCAGGTTGTAATTTGCACTATTCCATAGACACTTATTGCACTGAGTTATTGCCCAAAGGCTTGGTCCCATGTCCATGTCTTCACTTTCTTCCTGAAAGTCAGGAGGAAAGGAGCTGACCTAATTTCACTGGGGAAGGAATTCCACAGGCAAGGAGCCACCACTGAGGAGGCCCTGTCTCTTGTCCCCACCAGTTGTGCTTGCGATGGGGGTGGGATTGAGACCAGGGCCTCCCTGGATGATCTTAACCTCTGAGATGGTTCATAAAGGGAGATACATTCAGACAGGTAAGCTGGACCGGAACCGTTTAGGGCTTTACAGGCTAAAGCCAGCACTTTGAATTGTGCTTGGTAGCAGACAGGCAACCAGTGGAGCTGGTGCAACAGGGGGGTTGTATGCTTCCTGTACCCCACTTCAGTAAGGAACCTGGTTGCTGCCTGTTGGACTACTTGAAACTTCCAAACAGTCTTCAAAGGTAACCTCATGTAGAGCACATTGCAGTAGTCTATTCGGGATGTAACAAGGGTATGGAATAAGAAGCAGAGATTTGTATTCTGAAGTTCATCTTTAGTGAAATGGGACTTATGTTACCTCAGCTAACCATCTTCTCAGTGTCATATACAACATGAGAAGTCTTCCGGTGGTAATTTATGTGTGATATGTTGTTTCTATTTGTTGAAGTGGAATTTGATATGTGAATAATCTCAGAAAGGTATTGAGGTGGAATTTGATATGTGAATAATCTCAGATAGCTATTCATGGAGTCACATGTTTAGATGAGGATTCTCTTATGTAAGGAAACATGAGAGATAAATGTTTGCCCAGAGGGTAAGATCTGAAAGAGGCTGACAAATGTAATCTGACTCTTTATTTTGTTCCCATGCAGGTAGTCATGATGCTATGACGTACTGCTTGGATAAAGAGTCAGAAGTAAGCGTAAATGAATCCAAGTTGTTGCAATTTATGGACAAACATATGCATCGCATTGTGCACCCTATTATTTTGAAATGGTCTATAACGCAGGTAATGAAATCTCAAGTTTACTAATGTTTATATCTTATGCTTGAAGTATGCTTTTACGAACTATAACATTTTGCTTACTTTATTTTTGTAATGTAACACCACACATAAAGAAAAGAACAAATTTGGAACAAGGTGTCTAAACTTTTTTTTTTCAGTAGAAAATGTTACAGAGGATACTAAAGAACTTAACCATACAAGCCATTGTCTAACATCATATATATCTGTATTTATTTTATAGGGTAAACATTAATTAAAATAAACTAAGAATGAGAAAAACTAAACTTGTCTTCCAATTAAACACTCAGGAACCCTTTGTTTGTTTTTGTTTTTAACTATACAGGTGCTGACCGTATTAGAGCAACTGGATGCTGGAATTAGGTATTTTGATTTAAGGATTGCTCACAAACCTGATGATTCTTCTATGAACTTATACTTTGTTCATATGCTATATACAACAGTTGTTGTAGAGGTACAGTTCCTTATTAAACACCATGGAAAATTGTTTAAGTAAAATCATTTGAGAGAGTAATTCTCTAATGACTTTTAAAGTAATCTAGGTTATTGGGGCAGAATCCGTCTCTTTTGTGTGCAGATGAAGAAGTCTAGGTATGGAACGACACACTATGTTTGATTCTTAAACCTGGCCCAGTTTCTAGAGCAGAGGGGGACATGTATGGAGGGTTGGAGCATCATTTTGGGGGCCTCATAATCCTGCATAAACCACATGCCTACAGTTTTTCCTCAAACTGATGCCCTTCCAACTTCATTGGCACTTGATAAAGGTCTTCTGGAACAGGAGTACTACAACTAATATAATATGCCTGAATATTGTCATTTTCAGTTGCATTATGTTGAAGGTTGTTTTTGATATCACCTTCTTGGATGCTCTTTGAAAATGTGATAAGGTTGAGCCTATATTAAGTAGTTCTCATTTAACTCAGTAGGCTTTAAACAACATAGACTTACTCTGCATTCACCCCATGTTATGTTAAGGCTAAGGAGCCACCGGTGGTGCAGTGGGTTAAACCCTTGTGATGGCAGGACTGAAGACTGATAGGTCGAAGGTTCAAACCTGGGGAGAGAGAGGATGAGCTCCCTCTGTCAGCTCCAGCTCCCCATTTGGGGACATGAGTGATGATAAAACACAAGGATGATAAAATATCAAAACATCTGGGCATCCCCTGGGCAATGTCCTTGCAGACAACCAATTCTCTCACACCAGAAGTGACTTGCCATTTCTCAAGTCGCTACTGAGATGGAAAAAAAATGTTAAGGCTAGAAATGGCAACAGTCATGTTGTGAATTCGTCTGGCGGTGGTTATTGGAATGAAATCCAAATCTTGCAGTCACTGAATGTTCCACAATCCCCATTTTGACTCATAGGCACCACAGTAATTCCATGTGACATCCAGTTTATGCCTTTTAGTGCATTTGGACATTGTTAGAATTCCACAGCTGGCTAAGCAAGAATTACAGCACAGAGATGCTACTAACACCACATGTTCTAAATATGAATCAGCTTCTCAGAATCACGTGGCAGGGATTAGAATGGGTAAATTGCCCATTGAATTCAGTGTGGTTTTAGCTCTGGGTACTACGTATGCCCATAGGATTGTACAGCCAGTCTTTAAAGGAACCAGTTATCTTCTTACTATGTATGAAATGTATAATAGAGAAATGGGATTCTGCCTTTGTTCATTTATCTCTTAAATGTATATTTTTAATTTGGCAGCTACTTGTTATTATGTATCTTCAAACTGACAGTGATTTAAGATGATGCTCTCCTTGGGTTTTATTGGCTCATGGGGTTTGCTTGGCAATTTGCCATGATCTCCTTTAGAGGCGGAGAGAAGACGTGACTTTCTTGGCTGAGCAAGGATTTGAGCCCCGGTCTCCCAGAGGCTCCTACATCATTCAAACAATCACATCACATAGCCTTCAGTGGCTAACATTTCAAAACAAATTGCCCTTCTAGGCCAGTATTATTCTTACTACTTGAGGACAACTGTACAATGGTCCAAGGAACGCTACTGCTACCATCAGTTAACGTAATTCCACTGTGAGACACTATAGCTTCCTGTTATCATTTCTAAGTTTATAAAATGAAATTAAAATAAAACTGAGACCTGTAGGAATATGTGATTATCCAAAATGAGTGTTTGGGGGGCTGTAAAGTGAATACCTGTTGTGAAATGCCTTATGGTCTTTGGCAGGAATGAGAATCATCCACCCCATGAGCTGAGTATGCCTTCCTGAGGTTTCTCATGTAGCTCCAAGTAGGATATGGTCACACCCCAGTCATTCCTCTGAGCCTCTGTAATCAAGGGAACTTCTCATATCCTGGTTTTCCATCATGAGATCTAGTGCATTTTTGGATATAGCTTTCATTTTATAGCTCTCATAGCTACACAAGAAGTATAATCTAAGTATAATATCTATATCTGAAGATCCTTTAGAAATCACATTCAGTAGACATATTTCATTAACCCATTGAAGTGGATTGGGACTGTGTGAGTACACATTCAAATTTCCACTTTCCCAAGGAATAACTAACTGGTTAGGCTGAGAGAGGATGTGTCGGGATTTTCATGGATGAAGCCATGGATCTTCCTGCACACAGTTATAGCTTGTTAACTTCACTTCTGGGCCTTTAAAACAGATAAGTCCACTTTAGTTAGATCCCATTGTTTTGAAAAGCTTTGAAATTCATTGATACTTAAATATTGTGCTTGCCAAGGAGGAAGGTGCTCTGACTTTCATATAGAGTTCCTCGTATGGTGGAGCTTCGCTGTTCATTCTTAATAAGCAGAGCAATGCATCATGTGGACAGAGCAGGAATTTTAAAAGGACCCCTGGTGTCTCAATGAATTAAACCCTTGTGCCAGCAGGACTGCTGACCGATAGGTCAGCGGTTTGAATTTGAGAAGAGCAGGTTGAGGTCCCTCTGTCAGCTCCAACTCCCCATGTGTGGACATGAGGGAAGCCTCTCACAAGGATGGTAAAACATCTAAACATCCGGGCATCCCCTGGGCAACGTCCTTGCAGACAGCCAATTCTCTCACACCAGAAGCAACTTGCAGTTTCTCAAGTTGCTCCTCACACGCACACGCGCACACACAAAAGGAATTTTAAAGCAAACACACAGCCTTTCTTATTGAAGAAGTGAATGGTAAGATATTGTGTTTGTATGTGTGCATACTAATCTCTTGTGTTTAAGGAACATTGAATTAGGCTATATCTATTCTTAATTACTATCACTGTTGTCCTGTAGCAATCACATTGTTGAAACAAAGGGTTATATACCAGTTACATACTAATCATAAATGGGCCCTATTCAGTGTGGATTATTCCTATGTAACTGCCTAGTTTAAAAATTCTAGCTCTAGACTTATAGTAACTCTAGGTCTGTAATTATGACACTGTAGTATACATTGAAAGATTACTCAATTACATAAAATGACTCACTTCTAATTTGTCCGACATTGTTATCTGACAATCTTGCAGTATAATTACCTCGCCATTCTGCATGTCTGGAACTGATTTAATGTGGTTATGATTTAAATATTCCCAGCTACTGAAATGTGCACCTTTTGTCTTTAAAGCTTTTTTTTTGACTTGGTGTACATGGTTCTGGGCAATTGTTGCAGACTCAGAATTTGCCAATTGCTACCCTAGAAAAGCCAGAAATTAAAAGGATGGTAGTGATGGTTCTGGAATCCAGAGTAACATTTTAGACAGTAACAATTGAGAAAAGCATGTTTTTCAAAGTAGCATTCTTAGTTTTTCCTTACCCATTTGTAGGGAGTAGGTAAAACTTTGTAACGTAGCAGATTTTACAAGAGCCCCAGAAGTAGTGTGTCTATTAACATAGTGCTGTGATCTGGAGCAAGATATCTGGGACCTAATGTTTTGAACACTGGTTGCTCACTATTTTGACACAATAATTAAAGCTGAGGTGTCAAGAATTCAACTGACAATAATTAAAATGAGGTGTCAAGAATTCAACAGACAATATTTCACACTCGCAATCATGCTAATTTGATTTTCTGGATGTCTCAACATCCGAACTCAGATGTATGACAGGCAGGAAAGAATATGCAAAGCTTGAAGTTTCCAGTCTTTATGAAACATCCGCTATAATGAACATCCCTATGTTGGTACATCCAACTCAGCATCATTTGAGAAAGTGGAAAATTATGGGATGCAGTTTCTTTGAGTTTCCTTTTAGATTGGAATGCTTATTTATACACATATCATGTTGACTTTTTTTAGGCTGTCCTGTGGGATATTTTACGTTGGTTGAAGAACCATCCCTGGGAGGTGGTTGTTCTTGCTTTCAGAAATTTTGATGGATTGGATGAGGAGCATCACTGTCACTTGATCTCCTGTATAAAGAAGATATTTGCTGGCAGAATCTGCCCTAGAAATGTAAGTTGCTTGGAGTGCTCAGCTTTGAGATTGTAAAAGCCTTGTACACACTATCCTTGTCAAGACACTGCACTGAAACAAATGGGAATGTTCAGTTGCATAACCTGAGCTGCTTAAATGAGATTCTGGACATATTAATCCAAACACAAGTATTGTTTTATGAGTAGAATGTACAGTGATTCATTCATAGGGATACAGACTTCATTTCTAACAAGAGAAGTGTTGGGAATCAAGGCATTTTTGTGTTTGTTTTTCTATGCCCTGGTCCTTAATCCTCGTTGTGATTAATCAAAAGGGAACTTTTTTCAGGAGCTCAGAAACAGATATTTCTTTAAAAAATAGATGTTCAATCTGTTCCAGGACTCAGGTGTGCTACTGAAAATAGAGTCCAGAAGTGAACATCTCCACAAATTATATTGTGCTGCCACTGAAATTATGAAATACTTTGGTGTATTGACCTATTTATGGAAGCATTTAATGATCTGCTATGTACTATACAGTCAGCCCTCTACATTAGATGGGGCCAGGAGAACAAGACCTCAGCAAAAGTGAAAAACTGCAAATATAAATACTGTATGTTTTACTTGAAAGAACACCTCTCTAGGAATCTCTCTGTCCTCCAGTGTGACTTTATTTATTTATTTATTTATTTATTTATTTATACACTTGTATACCGCTAATATCTCAGCCTAAATCGGCAACTCATTGCGGTTTACAACAATTAAAAACAATCATCAATTCAAAACATACAATCAACAAATACAATACAAAATTATTGGGCCACCAATAATAATTCCATGCACTTTAGTAAACTTCTCCCTGAATCTGACCATAATATTGCACTGGAGGACTTACAAATATGTGCCTGTGCTTAATATCCAGTGGAAGTTGTCACATTGCAGGACTTAGAGATTTCTAGAGAGAACATTTTAATCAAACTGGTGAATAATCAAATTTGCAAAGAAAATTAAACCTGCAAATATGGAGGGTCAGCTGTATTTCAGTTCTTTCATTAAGTAGAGCATTTTGGAAACCAGATTTGATATTTACACTGTATATTGAGACAGATGGGTACAGTGATCACTATGCATGTCTTTGTTGTTAGCTGCCTTCAAATTGACCCTGATTTATGAGGACCTCATGAATGGGACATTTCCAAAACACCCTTTCCTCAACATCCCTGCTCAGATGTTGCAGACTCACTGCTTTTTTTTTTTAAATCAAGTCTTTTCATTCAAAATGCAGCCTCCCTTTTACCTAGTGTTTGTTACCTTCCCAAGCATTATTATCACAACGTCTCATGATGTGACCAAATGTAGTCATTTTGTTTTCTGAGAAAGATCATGCTTGATTTGTTTTAGAAGTCTACAATATCTGCAGAACACTCTTCCAGCATTAAATGTCAAATGAGATTATTTTCTTATCAGCCTTTTTCACTGCTGAGGTCTCACATGGTGATGGGAGATATGGCGTCATGGACAGTCCTCACTCTGTATTCAGATGTTATCTTTACACTTCCAGATGTTGTCCAGTTCTTTCATTTTTGCCTTTTCAAGTCCCCATCTTATTCCGATTGCTTGACTGCAATCTCCATTTTGATCTATGATTGAGCCAAAGTATGGAAAATCTTTTAACTATTTCAGTTTCTCCATTACATTCATATAAATCATGTGTAGTCATTATTTTTGTTTTCTTAATGTTAAGCAGGCCTTAGCACTTCTTCCTTGACTTTCTTTACCAATTGTTCCAGGGCTTTGTTATATTTTGCTACAAGAATTGCGTCCCCTGCATATCTCAAATTGTTGATGTTGTTTCCTCCAATTCTCACCCCTCTTTCCTCTGCATTTAATCCTGCCTTGTATAGGATATTTTTGCATAAGGCTTGGCCTCATAGGGTGATAGAATGCAACCTTGGCTGACCCCCTTGCCAATTGGGAACTTTTCCATTCCTTCATATTTTGTTCATATCCTGTCTTGTCCTGAATGCAAGTACAGCATCAGGGCAATCAAATGAATGTTGATTTTGAGCAAGCTTTTGCTTGCATAGGAAATTTATGCAACTATTCTGTGGTTGCCACAATCTTTTGTGCCCCCCTTTTGAGAGTTAAAATGCATTTTGATCTTTTTCCAATCTGTGGGTCATTCTATTTTTGTTTTCCATATTTGTTTATGAATTTTAGTTAGAAATTGAGTCAGTTCCGTCTCTGTAGATTGAAGCAGTGCCATTTGTTCATGGTGATTTATTCTTTCCAAGTGCTTTGAGTGTAGCTGAGTGTAAATTCATTTTGTACGGTTCTTCTTTCACTAAAGTTTTCATCCTGTTCTCTTTTTTATACAGTTGATTCTATTGTATTTTTCTTTCATCTTTGTTATGTTTAATGTTTCCATTTGATTTCTAAGATTTTTGAAAGGCTGTTTGGTTCTTATTTTTTTGTTTTTAGCTTCTGTTTCTTTGCATTGTTTTCTTTATAGTTTTCTTTCTCTCTCCAGTCTAGCTGTTGAACAGTTACACCAAAGCTTCTGGTTCTATTTCTGTATGCTTTTACTTTCGTTTCTTGTTTGTCATCCACAAAGACTTCTCCTCCCCCCACTTCATAGATAATAGTTTCCTTGACAATGTCCCTGGCTTCAATCCATAGTTCATGTGCTTCCCAGTCAATTATGTTCTATGGTGCAAATCTATTTTGCACATTTTCTTTACATTCTATGGTAATGTTCTTTTTTAGCATGATGGTGCATTTAGTGTTTTTTTTCCCTTAACTTTACTCCAATTTTTGATATGAACAGCTCATGATTTCTGCCACGATCATGCTCCATTTTTTACTGCGAGAATAGAGGTCCTCCATTTTTTGCTTCTAAATATGTAGTCTTTCTTATACTTTTGTATTCTAGTTGCCTGTGATTAATAAAAAGTCCTGCTTCTTTCCACTCTCTAGCATACAATTTTTCAACTTCTATCTCTTATGCCAGGGATCCTCAAACTTTTTAAACAGAGGGCCAGGTCAGAGTCCCTCAAACTGTTGGAGGGCCGCATTATAATTTGAAAAAAAAAAACAGCACATGAATTCCTATGCACACTGCACATATCTTATTTGTAGTGCAAAAAACACTTTAAAACAATACAATAATTAAAATGAAGACTTTTTTTAACAAAATAAACTTATTAGTATTTCAATGGGAAGTGTGGGCCTTCTTTTGGCTGATGAGATAGGATTGTTGTTGTTGTGTGCTTTCAAGTCATTTCAGACTTAGGTTGACCCTGAGCAAGGGCCGCATAAATGAACTTGGAGGGTCCCCGGGCCTTAGTTTGAGGAACCCTGTCTTATGCCTCTGCGGTTGGTGCATAGACTTGATTTATGGCTCTACTAATGAGTTTTTCCTGAAGTCTTATTGAGATGATTTGATCAGACTTCATGTTATATTCTTTGACTGCTTTTACTAAACCTCTTTTTATTAATGCCACTCTTCATATATTTTAATTTCCTATATAAAATTCTATGTAATTTTTATATTCAAAATGACCCATTCGCATCCATTTTATCTTTCTCACCACATATTATTATTGTTATTATTATTATTACTATTATTATTCTTCCCCTTCCTTTTTCCTATGTCTAACTTCTCTTCGTTCATGTTATCACAGTCTATGTTCCTATAGTATTTATTGTACAGCTTCTAACTTCCCTTTCACTTCTGAGCATATCAAGAACTTGGCTTCCTTTCAGCTGGAGTTCAGTTGTGTCATTGGCCACCGTCTTGTATTAGCTTTTTGTGTGTCTTCACTGACTCTTGTTTCCTTTAATCCTACATTGTTGGATTTCTGTATTTTTAGCTTGCAACACAAGAGCAATTTAAAAGCAGAAATAGGATGACAGAGCATAGGCTGTATGTTTCAATATTTGAGGTGCCAAAGTGAGGCTGTTAATTTGACGTACATCCTGCCCTGTATTTCAGGTTGTACCAACTCTACGGAACCTGTGGTCTGGTAACTATCAGGTTATTGTGTCCTATGATGATATTTCACAAGTGACGCGGCATTATGAATTGTGGCCTGCAATTCCATACTGGTGGGGAAATAAGACAACAGCAGCAAAGCTTATCCAGTATTTGGAGAGGAGGAAACAGGGTGGACGTCCAGGTACTTCCTTCATTTTGCTTTCATATTAGAAACCAACTTTCAAGGGGCTTCAGTTTCCAAGATGAGAAAGAAGATGATGATTTAAAAATATCGCAAGGCCGAACAGGGTATAGGGTTACAGCCTGTGCTGGATGGGGTCGCACTCCCCTTGAAGGCGCAGGTTCGCAGCTTGGGTGTGATCCTGGATTCATCGTTGAGCCTGGATCCTCAGGTTTCAGCGGTGACCAGGGGAGCATTTGCACAGCTCAGGCTCGTGCGCCAGCTGCGCCCGTACCTCGGGAAGTCTGACTTGGCCACGGTGGTACACGCTCTGGTCACATCCCGCCTTGACTACTGCAACGCTCTCTACGTGGGGCTGCTCTTGAAGACGGCCCGGAAGCTTCAGCTAGTCCAGCGCGCGGCAGCCATGTTACTAACTGGAGCGGACGCAGGGAGCACACAACGCCCTTGTTGTACCAGCTCCATTGGCTGCCGACTTGCTACCGGGCCCAATTCAAGGTGCTGGTGTTGGCCTACAAAGCCCTAAACGGTTCCGGCCCAAAATACCTGTCTGACCGCATCTCGGCCTATGAGCCCATGAGGACTTTGAGATCGTCTGGGGAGGCCCTTCTCTCGATCCCGCCTGCCTCACAGGCACGCCTGGCGGGGACGAGGGATAGGGCCTTCTCGGTGGTGGCCCCCCGGCTGTGGAACACCCTCCCTGTAGACATCAGACAGGCGCCCTCCCTTATGACATTCCGCAAGAGACTAAAGACGTGGTTGTTTGAGAAGGCGTTTGACTAAGTGCTACAACAATTGGCAATGATGATTGGAACGGAATATGGATAACGAGATTGGATTGTGATTCTATGATGAGACGTCGCGAATGATTTAGTGTAATTGTATTATTGAGAGTGATGTTGTTACTGTTGTTTGTGCTATTGCCTTTATTGTAAGCTGTTTTTTATATGTTGTACACCGCCGTGAGTCGCCCTAGGGCTGAGAACGGCGATCTACAAGTGCCGTAAATAAATAAATAAATAAATAAATAATCCTGCTCTATATTCAAGAATCTCATGTCACTATATAATAAAAACAGTTTGAGTAGTGTAAAATAGCAAGACTAACTGAAACACATCAAATGTGTGTTAAAACCATTTGACAAGTCAAAACAAGAGTGCAAAACCAGTTAAGGCTATGCAAAACCATTCATATGTGCAGATTTATATGAAAGGCTTTCTTTAAAAAGCATGCTTTTATTTGGCACCAGAATGACATAAGTTTTAGCATTAATTTGGCTTCTAGAGAGGAGGGAGGTTGTTCCACAACCTAGGGGCCACAATGGAGAAGGTCTTCTCCAACATTGTCCCCACAAGTGACATAGAGACCCCCAACAGACCTCAGTGTTGTCAACTGCTATCGACTTGACTTCAATTATGGTAATCCCCTCAATGAGTGGACTAAGTACTTATATATGTACCAGGAGGCATCTCTTCCAGCATTGAACTCCCAAGATATCTTTAAAAAGCTTCCAATATTCCAGTTGGAGGCTTTCATTAGTGTAAGTTTTTCTTTGAATCCGATTTGATTGGCTGCATACAGTTGAAATGTTTGGTCATGGGCATTTCTAACTTTAGAAAGATTAAAAAACTATACAAAAGAGACATTGTTCTAACGTTGTTGTCTAAATCACTGCTTCTTAAACTGTGAGTCCTGACCCCAAATTGGTTCCCCTTATCTCAATGTTGGGGTCCCAGAATTTGGCATCACCTACGGGCTGTTTTAGACATTTGCACAAATCTGTTGTTCAGTGTCCACAGTAGACTCTGCAGAAGATGCTTCAGCTGTCCTTCATAAAAATGAAAGCCAGCCTTGCAAGTCCTGATTTGTTATCAGTAAATGTTTGATTTTATACCTATTTTATATATCTGGGATCATCTATTTCTCAGTCCAAAAAGGACCAACAATGGAAAAGTGTAAGAATCCCTGGTCTAAATAAAAGGAATCTTAATAAAAGATATAAGTACTGATTCTAACAGGCAGGAGAATAGGTTAAATATACATATGCAGGTAGCAGTTTAATTATATTAATACTTTCTAGCATGATGCAGATAGCCAGTATATTGTGGAGGTTTGAGAGTTAGGCTAGGAATCTGGATGGCCACAACTTGAATCCTCTGAGTGATCTTGGGCAGGTCACACTCTCTCAGGCTTAGATGAAGGCAGTGGTAAACCTCTGGATAAATCTTGCCAGGAAAACTGTACAGTAGGGTCACTGTACAACAGATTCAGCTTGAAGGCACATAAATAACAACAACAACAATAGGTAGCTGCTGAACAGCATTGCCTAGTGGATACCATGTTGGAGTTGGCTCTCAAGAAAAATAAAATGACTGTCTTCATTGAAAATTATCTCTAATTGAGAGTGTTTCTAGATGGATCGCTCTATCAGTTGAAAAGCTACGTGTGACTATTCTGGCTTATCTCTATAATGGTAAGAGGAAACATTTTATGTAATGGTTAGAAATGTAAGACGACAGTGCTGTGATCCCCTCCTATTAACATTTTAAAAATAATAAGAATCATAACCATAATTTTATTTCTTCCTCGCCTTGTGGTTTAAGGCAGATTACAACATCGTTGAAAACACATAATCATTGTAAACATTCTATAACATACACATAATTAAACCTATTTCTATAAAATACATATTAAAATACACAGAACAAAGAGTAAAACACAAGGCGTGGGTTTAAAATTCATGATTAAAGGAGGTAGTGGAAATGTAGAATAAAAGCCTTCTTTGGAAATAACAATATAGACCTACTTATGCATAAGGATTAGACTTGTGCACAGATTCAGAGTGGTCGATTCCCTTCAGCCAATTTGGCTTGTTCGGCTTGGTTAGATGGCCGTAACGGTAAGGGCTCAGCTGTCAAGTTTTTCATCTATAATGGGACCACGTGGCAGCCGATCATGGCTCCTCCTCCCCTATTCAGCACCATGCAGCATGCAGAGAGGCTGCTGCGTGCTGCTTGCAAGGGATTTCCCTGTGAGTCCTGCCTGTTAAGCCAATCAGAATAGAGGAATGACATGACGTGTCTCACACACTGCTTCCTTAACCCCGTTGTTCAAACCCAGATTTTCTTGAAAGGAAGAAAGAAAAGGTTCCCAGGATGGGTTTCCTTAACCCCGTTCTTCAAACCCAGAGTCCCTTGAATGGAAGATAGGAAAGGGTCCCAGGAACGGAAAGGGGAGCCTTGCAAGTTCCCCATTGCCACCAAAGGGGCGGATTTTCCCAGATCTTTCGGCTGTCTAACCAAAACCAGATTTTTCGAGAGGCTCCCGAAAACGGATCTAGTTACCATATGAAATCCGGATACCAAAAACAGATCGCCCTCTGACTGAATTGCACAAGTCTAATAAGGATATTTATTTGTTGTTTCAAGAAGCAAGATGTACGTAATTATCCATGAGATTTATCTCCACTTCAAATGGAAAACTAAAACATCTAGAAAAAAATTCTCCACCCTATTGTTCATGCCTAAAGGTTAGTAAATTACAAAAATAATATCAAGAAGCAATTCTTATTTCTATTTGTTTTTCTTTTCAGCGGGATTATTTGTTGCAGGAATCAACCTCACTGGAGATCTAGGGTATATCCTGGCACATCTGCGTGGCTCTCTTAAAGAAATGACCCTTACTGCTCTTCCGTTTTTAAATCTATGGATAAAAAACCAACATCCTGGACCAAAGAAAGACTGCATCAACATCATTGCTGGAGACTTTATAGAAAAAAATGACTTTGTGAAGAATGTGATAGAGCTGAATAGCAAACTTTTGAAATAGCACTTTTTCTGTTCACTTTTTTGGGAGACAAAACACAGGTTGGGACTAAGCCCTGGCTCCAATGAGAGACAGAAGAAATCAATAATCAACTACCTCATAGGAATTCTGTAACTATCTCACATGCACCTAAGAATATATTTAAAAACTCTTGTTAAGGATCAACTGTGAAAGAGTCAGTGATGTTCTAAGATGTCAGTGTGAATAAAAACATTTCACAGTGAAAGTGGGAACTATTCAAAAACCCAGAGCCTTTATGTATGTGCATTACATTTTCATCTCCTAAGTTCTGTTACAAATCTGGTGTGCATTAAGGTGTGATGATTGCTCATTTGTCTCTATCAAATATTAGTTGACACTGATCATCTCTTTAGGAGGAAGGGGAAGGCTAAGCCTATCTTTCTTTACATAAGCAGATGACTGGAGTTTAGAACCACCTGTTAACTGATGTGTTTGATGTGCCACCCAGTGACAGAAGCTAGGGGCAAAGCAGTGTTTCAGAGAGACAAATCCAGAAGTGGGCTAATTTTTAAATCTATGTAGTTAAGGTTTAAGTATTTATTATTCTCCAAGTGCTTACAGCAATGACAGCTCTGCCTGTCTGCTCATGTAAGCTAAAGTTTGTACCTGTCAACTGGAAATCTTTATCTAGACAGGTATAAATGATTTGTGAAAAGAAAAATAGAACATAACCTCAGGGTTTGATTACCCCTCCTCCAGCCTTTAATCTTTGTGCCACAATGGCTTAACTGGCCATCATTATCTTTTGCTATTGTTGAATGCCAGAAATTGACTGCCCCCCCCCCCCAAGGGGAAGGGCCTAAAAGGAAATACACACTTTGTCACTAATATTAGGCAAGATAACCAGCCGATTAAGGACTTAGTCAGCAAATTGTATTTGAGTTCATCTTAAAATTGTTATTTTCTGCAAAGACTATGAAGAATTCAAAAATAACCTTCCCAGTTTGGGTCAACTGGGGACACCAAGCCAAATGAAGCATAATGTGATGGACATAGAAGTGATTAAAACCCAACTTTATATAGGCACTAATAGGGAGTGTGTAATGGTGGTAGTGCTAGATAGCCATGAGTAGGGCTACTCTCCTCTTTTAAAGCTGTGAGTCATAATAATTAAAATCTATTTGTGGAGGCAGGGGTGGCAGTATTGTCCTTTTGAGCTCCTTGTGAACTCTGTTTCCTTTTTATGTTCTTAGCAGTCAAAAATAGTTCCTTGCATTCCCTCTTAGGAATATTTGGGGAATAAGAAATATATCAGTCAATGAAATTAAGAGTATGAAGTTTTAGTTTAAGTAGTAGCACTGTGATCTTTTGTCATTAACATGTTACAAGAAGCACTATGCAACATTATATGAAAGAATGTTAAATAGTTCCCATTGTGACTTTTCAAATGTTATTGTTCTGTATTGAGTTATCTAGTTCTCCTTAAGACATATTTATGTGTTTTTGTTTTATAGTCACAAAAGAATGCTACCCACTACCACAATTGAAAAAAGGCTTGAGGAATACTTCACTCAGCAGCGTATGTTTCTGTAACAAATGGCCAGTAATCTTAATAAAAATGCTTATACTAATGATTTGGAAAATTGTGGCAATGTCTACAAAAATAGGCTTTGCTACCTGGTATATGTCTGTGCCAACAAGTTATCTGTCAATTTATTTACAGCAACCCCAAAAATTTTATAGGACTTTCCTAGGCAAGGATTTGCAGTTCCTGCCTCTGAAATATAGTTTGCAGTACCTGGTATTCATTGACTGTTCTCCCATTCAAACACCAACCAGAGCTGATCCTGCTTGATTTCCAATATCAGACAGGATTGGATATTTGTAGGTTAGTGTCACCTGTTAATAAATGTCAAATTGAGGAGAAGCAAACATAATACAAAGCTATCTCATCTAAAGATGTAATGCTCAGGAATTTATGCATGTATCTTTTTAGTACCAGAGTACCTGTACTCTATTCCACAGAAATAGGAAACATTTTATTCAAAACTAAGGATGTACAGAACTGATGACGTTTGACCGAGTAAACAAGAATTTCAGGAACCCTTTATAGCCATGAAAACGTCTTTCAAAATACATCCAGGGATTTTTTTTGTTCTTCCATCACCCTTTACTTTTCAATTTCAATTTTGGTGGTAAAACCTCTGGATGCCTGGGTAGTGGGTGAAGCTAGCTTATCAGCTTTCCTCTTTTCTATTTGTTTTATGTTCGTGCAAGCCCAAGAAGCAATTTTGGAGGCAAATGGTCCTCCCTCCAGAAGGCAGGCTCTTATAACTATTTATTTATTTATTTATTTATTTATTTGCTATGTTTGTATACTACCCTTCTCAGCCCTTAGGCTACTATAGAAACCTGTTTCTTCCCAGTCCATGCTTCATTACATTGTTTTCTGTAGACAGACATGCTGGCATACAACATTGACATCTGTGTCTTTCCATCTCTTCTCCAACAACAATGCTGCTAAAAACTTTGAGCTACACAAAAGAAGAGGGGAAGTGATAGCTTGTAGGTTTGTCAACCAGATTGGTTAAGGGAACATCTAAGAGTGAGCATATTACCCCTATAGTAAAGTCGCTCCAGTGGTTGCCAATTAGCTTCTGGTAAAGTACATAGTGTTGGTTTTGACCTTTTAATGCCCTACATGGTTTGGGCCCAGGTTACCTACAGGATCACCTTCTCCTGCACAATCCACCTTTAAGGACACTGAAGTCTTCTGGGAGACGCTTACTCCATCCACCCAGAGGACCTTTTCATTGACCGCCCCAAGACTGTGGAATGACTGCCGGAGGAGATTTGATAGCTAAATAAGCTGTCATAATTCAAGACACAACTGAAGACCTATCTCTTTCGGCAGTTCAACCCAGTCAATTTTAAGCTGTGAATTTTAATCTGCATATTATTGGTGTTGGGGCCAATCTTCGTTGTGTGTATTCTGGTATATGCATTTTAATAGTGTGACCCATCTGTCTGTTTTAACTGTGTTGTATCCCACCTCAAGCTGTGAGGAGAGGTATGACAAATAAATGTATTATAAAAATAATTTGTACAAAGCATTTTCTTTGCTGGGCTTTGAGGGAGTCCTGTAGTGAATTACACCTGTACATGTTTATAGTAAAGGTATTTAAACCACCAACATAATCAGGTTTACATTAATTTTCAATTGTTTCTACTCCAAATATGACTTAAGTCTTGAGTCCAACCCACTTGGAACCTTAAATAGCTGTTTAGAGGAGATATGTTATCTTATGCTGCCAGTCACATCTCCTAGTATTATCAATTCTGGCTCCAAGTGGCTTTCTTGTGTTTTGGTCAGGATTGTTTCCTATCCTTACCTTAAGATCCTGAAGAATTACCTGAGCATCTCCCATCCAATTATTAACCCCTGTATTTTTTTTTGAAATGAGACAAGATTGGAGTGTTTGACTTAGGGGGATTAGAAAACAAAGCTTGCTAAAGAAATATTGGCAACCACAAACTTCATTGTCCTAAAGGAAGCACATAAAATTGTAAAAAATGAGTTGTTTATTATACTAGCCTTGGCCATGACATCAAATAATATACAACTTTTAAAAGTACAGTATACATTTTCCAATATAAACATTAAAGCTTATTCTATAAACTAGCTCTTTCAAATTACAGTAGCAGTGACATTCCCCATAGGCATGAAAATTTGATTTGTATTATCCCAAACTGTTTCCATTTCTAGCCTCCGCTGTGGACTTTACAAATTTAGCTCGGATTTTTTGGGCTGCAACTGCAAATGTAGTAACCTACATTTAGTTAGATTTTTGGAATAATCCACTAACAGGTCAGAGATAACTGCTGACTGTTGCTATGCTGCCCTTTCTTCCAGAGGGGCTCCCAGGAGATTGTTTCTGGGGTCATTATACAAATATTAATGTAACAAAATTAATAGAAACAAGCCTTGAAATATTTAGCTGCAAATCAGAGGGATATAAAACTGCTATAATTTCATCATATATCTTCTTCCTCTCATTGACAGTTTAAGGCAGATGTTAAGATTTGACAGCAAGTTTTCACAAACTTATTGTTGCTGTTATAATCTCTGCAAAGGGAAACCCAAAGTGGCTTCACATTCAAATTGCAGTTTTCATTGGCCACAGATAATCCTGAATCCACAATACAGTATCAGAAATGGCATTTTCAAGAGCGGTACTCCTTAAGGAAAAATAAAGTCTTGCAAAGTTGTGCTTAAACATGAATCACATGACTAGGAAAGGATTCATTTAATTAAAAATTTAACCTTGCACATTTGATTTGTATAGCTCTTTTATTGGATGGTTTTACTACAGAGTACATCTGGGGTGCTGGATGATAATTTGCTTTGTGCAATTCCTCATGAATGGAACGATGCCAAAAATTTCTCACAGCATGGCACATTAGGTTTTCAAGGTTACTGTCATCATTTTATACAAAGTTGAAGATACTGGTTTGTTTGAAACAGAAGATGAAAGGTCTGTGCACTAAGTCACACTCATTTTACCTTCATCGAAATACTGTGATAACCATAATTGCAGGTTATGCTGATGCCTTCCATAAACACGGCATGGTTTCTTAATTTTCAGGAGGAGTAACTTGATCGAGGAAAGAGTCTTTTGTGTTTTCCCAAGGCAGAATTACTTATGACGACCTTTACATTGGCTGTACCATCTTCAGGGACAACATCAATGTCCTGCACTGTTGCTTCTTTGTAAAGCCAACTGAAATTGCAAGGCAAAGTCAGTCTCTTGTAGAAACAATCCTTGTACCTTTTACATGCCCCCCCTTCCTTTCCTTTTGCATGTGCAAAGGATAATTTAATTTTTGTGATTAAATCATCTCTACTAGGATAGCAGGTCAACACGATGAGAAGGAGATTAGATGTTTAGTCTTCGCTAAAGCAAAATGCTCCAAAGCAGTGGTTCTAAACAGGTGGGTCCCCAGTAAACTGGATGATAGATTATTACAACAGGCAACTTCACAAATGACCTTGACACCATTCCATGCCATCATCACATTCTTTGATCACAATTATGCTCTATGTGTAAATACAGAGGATTCCCAACCTTGTAGAAAGTCTCTACAAACTATGTCCCACTAATCCAGTGGTTCTCAACCTGTGGGTCCCCAGATGTTTTGGCCTTCAACTCCCAGAAATCCTAAAAGCTGGTAAACTGGCTGGGATTTCTGGGAGTTGAAAGCCAAAACACCTGGGGACCCACAGGTTGAGAACCACTGCTCTAAAGCAATCAGTTGGATATTAAATAAATACTTCTTTACCTGCCACCCTCCTTTCCTCTAGTCACTGATCTGTAGCCATTATACTTGCTTACCTGAGCTGAGGTCCAGATAAATTTACTTTAATAGTTAGAATATTTCTCCCTGTTACTTTCAGGATTTTTTTCTCAATTTCCTCTTTCAGTTCTTCTAAACCATGCCCAAGGAGAGCTGAAATGGCTATTGCGTTGGGTTCAGTGGGACGATGCCTAATGGAGAACCATAGAATCATAGAATCAAAGAGTTGGAAGAGACCTCATGGGCCATCCAGTCCAACCCCCTGCCAAGAAGCAGGAATATTGCATTCAAATCACCCCTGACAAATGGCCATCCAGCCTCTGCTTAAAAGCTTCCAAAGAAGGAGCCTCCACCACACTCCGGGGCAGAGAGTTCCACTGCTGAACGGCTCTCACAGTCAGGAAGTTCTTCCTAATGTTCAGATGGAATCTCCTCTCTTGTAGTTTGAAGCCATTGTTCCGCGTCCTAGTCTCCAAGGAAGCAGAAAACAAGCTTGCTCCCTCCTCCCTGTGGCTTCCTCTCACATATTTATACATGGCTATCATATCTCCTCTCAGCCCTCTGAGAACATGAGCAAAACAGTAATGTCATTCTCATACATCAGTTAAGCCAGTTGAATGACATCTCAATTATATTCAAATACACTCATGAAATCAATGGAATATAAACATGAGTTACTGTGCACTGGATTCAATCTTATTTTAAAAAAAGCTTTTTTGCTGGTTTTCATAAAAATAATGCTGTGGTTTAGAAACAAATATTGGACGTACTGCCTTCTGTTGCAACTCATCCTACCGGAAATGGAGCATGGTATCCGCAACAGAGAGGCCAATTCTGATACAAAATCTACTGCTCATAGTTATCATACCAATAGATGGGCGGAGTCAAAATACACACTACAAGAATGTGTTGAAAATTCAGTTCCTCTTACCTGTCTATTAAATCCACTTTGTTATGAACTTCAATAATAGATTCCAGTAGATGGCTAGGAAGACTAAGATTTCTGAGAACTGATAATACACTTTCTTTCTGAAGGTTGGTTTCAGGGTGGCTGACATCTCTCACATGGAGAATTAAATCCTAGCAACAAATAAAATGCATTCCCAATTAAGTAATTGTAAGGCTATAAGGAGAGGCAGATAATAAATAAAAATGTATTCTTACTATATTATTATTAATCAGTTACTTGACTTTTTTAAAGCCAGCAGCGAGAGACATTTAGTGTGTTTTATAGAGTAGCAAACTAAAATCAGACTTTAACAAGATTCATTTTTTTTAAAAAAAAATAGACTGCTAAGATTCACCAATGAGAATCTATTACAAAAGACATACTTCTAAAGGATTTTCAGCAGCATCAATTTTCAGAGAGGCATATTATTGTTACTGTTGTTTAAAAAAATGGATGTCAGCAATTCTTGGTGATCTACTACATTTTTTCCAGAGACAATTTTCTTAGAAAGCTAAATCTAGCACATTCATGCTAGGTGCAAACTTCAAGGAATTTAGTATTTTCATTCCAAGATTAAAGATGGAAGTATTCGGAAAACAGAGAGGAAAAACACACTAAAAACCCATGTTAATGGAAAGACAGCTCCTTTACAAACAAAATAAAAAACACAACCTTGAAACTTCTTAAATATTCCTTCGAATCCCTAAGCACTTTAAAGATGTAATAAGGACAGGGTTAATTTTTAAAAAAACAACAACCAAGATTACCAAAACCAATGGGCAATTTATTACATGTATTTCTTCCTTACGTCTTTTTGACCAGATATTCAACTGAAATACCTATCTTTTAAGTGGAGGTTTGATAGTGCCATAGAAGATGCAAATAGACTTCAGAAGTTTATGCTTATTCAGGGAGTAGCACTTGAGAGGAAATATAATATATGTACACTAAAAGTTGTTATTTCTATTATAAAGTAACATTGCTTGATTCTAATTTTTTATTTTTCTTACTGATATTGTTTTTCCTCATTTCTTGACTTATTTTTTAAAGGTATAAAGATTTAAATAAATAAATTCTATATGTTCGATTGAGTCAACTCTAATTAGGATTATCAATTAATTTAGGACATTAACTTTATGTGTGACTAAGTTGATTACAAATTAAATGCAATTCCTGACCCTTTTCTGTAGTATATTAATATGGAAACCTATGCAGATCTTCCAAGAAAGTACACAGTCTCCTATTGCAGTCTGCATGAATCTGAAGAGCCATTCCTGCTAAAGACCGTGGTTGTAAGGGTGGTACCTACCGAACAAGCGACATCTTCCAAAGTTGCTGAAAACGATTCGACAAGGTCATGGGGCAACTGAGAGAGAAATCCAATAGTATCTACATATAAAACAGTCAGCCATGATGGCAGGAAACCAGCATGGGCTGTTATGTCCAATGTGGCAAAGAGTTGATCTTGGGGCTGCAATCCTGCATCCCCAGTGAGGGCTTTGATTAGAGTAGTTTTCCCTAAAAAGAAAACAAGATAGGAATGAGTAAGATGGACAGTTTGATTAGTGCAAAGCTAGCTGCTGTTCTAACAGAAGGCTGGTCATAGATTCAACAACTGGCTGATAGTTACAAGAGCTGTTCTTTGTCATTTTGTAATCTACCAGCTCAAGGCTGCAATTAGCTTTTCAGAGGGTCATCGCCAACAACACTTGATTTGACAGCTAAACAAAGTGTCAGAATTTAAAATAGAATTAAAAACATATCCCTTCCAGCAGTCCTACCCAGCCAATTTCAAACTTTGAATTTTAAATTAGTATTTTAGTAGTTTGGAGTAACAACAACAACAACAACCTTCATTTTTATCCTGCCCTATCTCCCCGAGGGGACTCAGGGCAACTTACAACAAAAAATGGCAAACATTCAGTGCCAACAAAACATAACAAAACAGATCTAATCATAAACATTAAAGTAAGACAGCATCAAGGTGCACTTTTAAAAACTCAAAAATAACAAAATAGAAATTTCAGTATACAAATAAAACAATTGGGATTGTTTTAATATTGTTTAATAGCTATGTATTTTAACTATGTTGTAACCTGTTTCGAGTCTTGCATAGTCAGGAAATAAATTACTATGATTATTATGAAACTCATAGCAAGGTGAAACAAGAGCTGCAAATACAATCCATCCTTGGCTGAATAGAGATATATCTGGTAGATTAGTAGCACTATTTTACTTTTAAAGCATTTATTTATTTATTTCCCATACTTCTACCCCGCCCCTTTCACCCCGAAAGTGACTCAGGGCGGCATTCACTTGGAAACTTGGTAGGCATGCAGTTATGCTTATTATGTTCTTGTTTTTCATGCTATCAATTTAGACCTATAAAAATGAACTATATTGCCTCCCTAAGCTCAGATGACAATGGTTAGCTGCAAGCAGCAGCTCTGTGTTCATCTAGCCAGCTTGCCCGTTCAACGTCTTGCTCCAAGCAAAATGCAATTCATATGGGAGAAGCATTTACCAGTTGCCAAATGTTGGCATGCTGTTTTCCACAGGCTGTGTCTATCTGTGCTAGATACTCATTCTTTGCCCGTTAATAAATTAGGTGTGTGCTGCAATTATGCAGAGTTAAGCAACTGGTATTTAGCAACAGTCAAATGATTACCTAGGTACTGAAAGACATGTAAACACCATTTGGTATACAAAACTATTTTCTAACTCATATTGTAAATGTAGCCCTTACTTTAAGTTCTGTCTGATTCTTTTGCAAATATAATTACCAAAAATAAGATTTACAACAATAATAATACTTTATTTGTATTCTGCCCTATTTCCCCAAGGGGACTCAGGGCGGATTCCATCATATACAGAGACACAAGGCAAACATTCAATGCCTCAAAACAATGAATACACGGAAACAGAGATAAAGGTAAGGGCTTCCCTTTCATCTTCGACTCTGGGGGTGGTGGTGCTCATCTCCATTTTAAGATGAACAGCCTGAGTTGTCCGTGGACACCTCCTGGTCATGTGGTCGGCATAACTGCATGGAGCACGGTTTACCTTCCCACCGAGGCGGTACCTATTGATCTACTCACATTTGCATGTTTTCGAACTGCTAGGTTGGCAACAGCTGGGGCTAACAGTGGGAGCTCACCCTATCCTGCAGATTCAAACCGCCAACCTTCGGGTCAGCAAGTTCAGCAGCTCAACAGTTTAACCCACCGAACCACCGTGGCCCCACTTACAAGTGTGGAGATCAATGAGCATCCGCAATCATAGCCCTTTCTCTCCCTTCATCATAGATAGCTACTGAGTATTAAGTGATATAATCTTTATGTTCAGTGTACAAAGGAATTTGTCAGAGCTCAATTGAAAGGGCAGGATTTATATCATATAACCAGGTTTTCTGGTTTCAAAGCAGAATCCATACATACATATACATATTTTATATCTATATCTAGAGCGCAAATCATTTGTGACAAAAGGGTGCCCTCCCATTTTCTCCTTGTAGTGCCCCTCCTTGTGAAGCACAAAGCTTTCTAAAGGGACTCTAAATTGTACGTGTGGAAACCTCTGGTATCCATGCAAAACACCATGGGGACTCTGGCTTTTAAGAATGAAAAAAGAATTAAAAATGAGTAACGAATTGCCCTTCCAGATAACTTGTTTCACATTTACTGAACAGGAACAAGTGCTATTACATTTAAATGTACAGTTTACATTGCACAGTTCAAGAATTAAGATTTAGCTGCACCATAGCCTTTTGTGCTGAAATGCATTTTAGCAAAGTTTATATTGCAGTGTTGCTGCTTACCACAATTAGTGTATCCCATTACTGAAACAGTAGGGAATTCACGCTTCTTTCGCTGACTCCTAAGTAAGCACCTTTTCTTTCTAAGCCTCTCTAAGGCCTTTCGAATTTTAAGTTCTTTTTCTTTTAAGAGGCGAAGCTGCAGCTCCATGAAAGTTTCACCTGAAAGCAACAGAAACAAATTGCCTTAAAATTAAAAAAAAAAAAAGGGGGGGGGGGAAGTAATTAAATATTTTAAGCTTGTGTTTTGTTTATTGCCCTGATTGATTCAGACTACAGTTGGCAAGCTCTTGTATGATAAGACATAAAATACATTTCTGCCTATGCCCATAGAGCTGCACACACAAATATGGCGACATGCCCTGGGGGAAGGTGTGTTCTGAGGCACAGGGTGTAATTGCACAAGGAAAATGTTAAATTTATCCTGCAGTCATTATCAAAACAAACAAGCAAACAATAATAAAAATGCATGCCAACATGCACTTTGTAATATTGCTGTTCAGCTTTTCATTACAATTCTAGCAGTCCTTGAATACAGACAATTTCACTATATATACTTCACCTGAACCCATAATATATCTTGAGCCACCTCTCTGCTGATCCAGCTGAGCAACCTCGTTACGTATATTACTCCTGGGGGGAAAAATTACACCTTTTAAGAGCCATATAGAATGCTTGCCAGAAAAAATAATACATGAACCTAATAGACAAATAAAATTAAACACACACCAATTTCTTATTGAAACTAATTCAACAATGTAAGTCCTAGTGCTTTAGGTGAAACATAAAGCTCAAGCTTACACTTGTCTTTTCAGGACCCAATATGTTCAATGGAGTTTACTTCCAGGAAAATGTGTAAAATATTAGAAATAATCACTATTAGAACTAGTTAGATTAGGAAAAATACTCATTTGCTATGATAATTTAAATATACAGTTCTGGTGGAGGAGGAAATCAGTTTCTATACTATGCTTTTAAATTCAAGTGATAATTTTACACTAAATAGGTGGGGAGTTAGTGCCAAATCAAAACTTCTAGGTGTATTTATAATAATGGTAACAATAATTTTTTTATTTATATTCCACCTTATATCCCTGAAGGGACTCAGGGTAGATTCCAATCATAAAAGGTAAATATTCAATGCCTGAAAATAACAATACACACATAATGACAAAAATTAACAACCCAACATATAAAAGCAAAGTGTAACTTAACAACTAAAGTTAAATGAAAAAATGCAACCTATTATATTAGACACAAAACAAACATCGAGCAGAATCATCAGTTTCCGAGAGTCAATGGAATTAATTGGGGGCAGATAAGATTGATCATTGTTTAAGATGTCTATTGAACTAGTGGAGCTAACAGGGCATGGATACGGATGGCCGCTATCAATCAGAGATATAATGGCAGCATTGCCATCTATTCCTCCTCATAAGACAGTGAGCAGAAGTATGTTTTCAGCTATTTCTTAAAGGAGGGGAGGGAGGGGGGCATCTTTAATTCCTTAGGAAGGGAGCACCAGAAGTGGGGGGTGGACTTGGAGAAACCCTTTCTCTCGTTCCCACCAGGCGAACTTGGGACGGGTGTGGGACCAAGAGCAGGGCCTCCTCCGATGACCACAGTGTCCGAGTTGATCTGTAGTGGGAGATGTGGTTTGTCAAATAGTCTGGACCTGAGCCGTTTAAGGCTTTAAAGGTAATGATTAGCACTTTGTATTTAGCCCAGAAGCAGACTGGCAGTCAGCAGAACTGCCACAACATGGGAGTGGTTCTCTCCCTGAACAGCGCTCCAGTATCCTGGCTGCTGATCTTTGGACCAGTTGAAGCTTCTGAACTATTTTCAAAGGCAGCCTCACATAGAGAGTGTTGTAGCAGTCCAAACGGGATGTGACTAAAGCATAGACTACCATGGCCAGATCTGTCCTGTCAATGTATGGGCACAGCTGGCATACAAGTTTTAATTGTGCAAAAGCGCTCCTAGCCACCGTCGACACCTGGGGTTCCAGGATCAGCGATGAATTGCATCACCTAGAATGTGAACCTGTGTCTTCATGATCTGCATAATCTATATTATTATTATTATTATTATTATTATTAACTTTATTTGTACCGCTAGCAAAGGAAGGAGAGAAGGAGGGAGGGAGAGAGGGAGAGAAGGGAGGAGGGAGGGAGGGAAGGACTTAGAGCTGGACATTATGGCCATCAGAGTTCATTCGTCGTCTTAATGTCTTTGCCTTTCTTTACTGCCTATATCGATTCTCGTTTGCTAGATCCCCTTTTACTTTTTGAGCT